TTTTTTTAAAGATTTACTTATTTATTTATGATAGACCGAGAGAGAGAGAGAGAGGCAGAGACACAGGCAGAGAGAGAAGCAGGCTCCGTGCTGGGAGCCCAACGTGGGACTCGATCCCGGGTTTCCAGGATCGCGCCCTGGGCCAAAGGCAGGTGCTAAACCGCTGAGCCACCCAGGGATCCCCAATTCAGAACCCTTTTGGATTGCAGAGTCTCTTTTAGCCGTGTCAGGCCTTCTGACTAACATCATCCGGAAAATATGGAGTCAAAAGCGTGGACATATTCTTTGTTCTCACTGTAGCAAAATTTGTGTCAGCAAAGAAGTTGGAGGATATTTTCTTTCTGCCACTTCAACACTTACTGAAAACAAGATCTTTCTGCTTCTACACCATTGTATGCTGGAGGATATGATTACACTGTAGTTCTATCTGTTCTCAGGTTTTATGTTACTCATCAAATGTCAAAATGAAAAGCTGATTTCTTTAAAAATGAATATAAAGTTCCAAAAATAAATAAAATATGTAAAGAAAATTCAATTAAAATATTTTTGCTAGAGTAATGTAGATTTATATATTAAATATACCCCAATACGATCATTAATCAGCAACATGTTCTACATAATGCTTTGGTAAAGATCACTTTTCCTTGATAAGAATTGTCCATTTTAATGGTTCTGTGGCATTCTTATTATGTCTCCTCATATTCTTTCTTTGAGATATATAAAACATACATGATTTTCTTAAATACATAAATGGTTTTTTAAAAAACACATATTTTCATTATTTCTCTAAAAGTCTGATGTTACTCACATCGCTTCTTACAATCCTAAAAAATAGGCCAGGACAGGAGATTTTACTTCGAAAGTACTGTTTATCTCCAGATCAGAGAAAGAAAAGAGAAAGGTAAAAAATGAAAAGTCAAAGAAGAGCACATTTTGCCAGTGGAACCCCCACCTAGCTAAATAGTCTCATCTTTTGCTTCAAAATCCAGCTTTGCTTAATGAAGTACTGCAGTTCACTACAAGGCCTGCAGTCCATGCCCACCCACATCCCCTGCTTTATTTCTGACCTCCAGAGATAGAAGGATCTCCACAATTTTCAGGCTCAGTTTTAAGTGACAAAAAGACAAAACAGAATTAGGGAAGTATATATCCCATGAGCACAAAGGCACATACTGTACAATTTCCCATTTAACCTCACACACACACAAAGTAGCTCTCATTTTGGTTACTATATTCCTGATATTTCTTGAAGTCTAATTCACCTGCTTTACTCCCAATCCTACCTCAGTTACTGATTGGATAAAACTTCTGGATTTCCAGTTTTATTGAGATATTATTGAATATAACCATGCATTGGTTAAAGTGTAGGATATAACGATTTGATGTCTATATATCCTGCAGGATGAAAACTCTTGTCTCTAAGTTGCCAATTCTCTACTTCAAAAAGGAGGCCACAACCACTGGAATCTCATATTATCTTGTGATTAGAGTCGGGGAAGCTAGAATAATTAATATCCTGGTTGGTATCTTTGACAGTGGACTTTCAAAATATTTCATCACTAAGTTTGAATCAACCTTAGAAATGTCCTGCACCTAAGTAGTGGCTAGTAGCTGTGACTGTCACTTCTCAGATGAAGCAGAGGCTTTATTATGGATAGACTATTCGTGTTTTATAACAATAGAGAATCTCCTAAAACAGGTAGCAAGTTCTAAAAAGAACTATTGTAGAAAGAAGAGTAATTTCATGACTTCCTATAGTTAAATCAAATAGGTTTTCTAGGTTTCCATGTAAGACTCAAATGTCTGTGATGACCTGTGCCATAGAATAAAGTACATGATTCTCATCCAAAGATTATTTCTGAGCAAGTAAATTATTTAATGAATCAAATTTACAACCTGCCCTTAGCCACCATGGGAGATAGTCTACGTCTTAATTTTACTCAATTTAATGTTACTATACATTCTCTTTGTTTTGTTCTCTTCATGGCAACTCGTTGTATCATATGCAGTTTTAGAGGCCACTTCAAGTATTTTTTATAACAGTGTAAGATATAAAATTAACTCCCCGGGATCGAGTCCCACATCGGGCTCCCTGCATGGAGCCTGCCTCTCCCTCTGCCTCCCTCCCTCTCTCTCTCTCTCTCCCTGTTTCTCATTAATAAATAAATAAAAAATCTTTTAAAAAAAAGATATAAAATTAACTCATTTTAAAAAATCATTTAAAAACCTTAGGTCCTGGGCAGCACCGGTGGCGCAGCGGTTTAGCGCCGCCTGCAGCCCGGGGTGTGATCCTAGAGACCGGGGATCGAGTCCCACATCGGGCTTCCTGCATGGAGCCTGCTTCTCCCTCTGCCTGTGTCTCTGCCTCTCTCTCGCTCTCTCTGAATGAATAAATGAATAAATCTTTTAAAAAAATAAAATAAAATAAAAACCTTAGGTCCCAATAATTCAAATTATAAGTCTGTCCAAATATGCACCTGTGAGTACAAGTTACATTCATTTATTCACTAAATATGTTCTAAGTGCCTACCATGTGTCAGGCACTGTTCTGGGTGCTAGGGGAAACAATGGTGAATAGTATGTCATTCAGAGGTAAGGATTATGGGAAAAATAAAGCAGGGAAGGGGAAAAGGAATGCCAAGGGGAATGCGAAAGGAATGCCAACTTTGTGATAAAGTTACAATTTTAAATAAGATGGTCAGAGAAGGCCCACCTTACTGACATGACAAATCATGACTGGAAGGATCTGAAGATGGGGGATCAAACCACACGGATACCTAAGGAAAGAGCATCCCAGGCACAGGGAATATCAAGCACAAAATTCCCAAGACAGATGAGAGCTCTGCATTTCTGGGGATCAGCTAGGAGACCAGAGTGACTGGGGCTGACTGTCGGATGATCTAGAGATAAAGGGAAAGCAAAGGCAGATCAGGTAAGGCCCTGGAGACCATCATAAGGACTTTGGCTTATAAACAGAATGAGATGAGAAGCAACTGGAAGGTTCTAAAGAGAAGTTACAAAACCTAGAAGAACGTAAGTACCTGAAATGTCTAAATGAAAAGAGTGGTAACTGTGGGAAGCATTAATCTGCAAATATTTATTGAGTCCAAATTATTTACTAGGATTTTCCTAAGCACTGGGCATATGGTGCTAAATAAAAGACACATCAGTCCAAGCTTTAGTCTTGTGGGTGAGAATATTAACAAATGACTAAGCAAATAATTACAACTATACTGCATATGAGAAGAATTGGGTGATTGTGGAAAGAAAATTGAGGGAGGGAGGTCTAATCTGGTCTGGGCAATAGGGGAAGGCTTCTTCGAAGAAAAAATAATGAAAGTAAAATTGGAAAAGTACGTAGGAGTGAGTTAAGTGAAGAGGGATGAGAGGGACAAAGAACACTTCAAGCAAAAAGTGCCTGCAAAAATCCCTGAAGGAAAAAAAAATAGGCATATTTAGGGAATTGAAGACTACTGAGGCTGGAGCTAAGTAGGCAAAGAAGAGTGTCTAAAGAGTTCGGGTTGAATTCTAAGGGCAATAAGATACCAACAGTTTAAAGCAGGAGCCCAAGAAGATGAGAATTATATTTTTTAAAGATGACTCTAAAGCAATGAGCTTAGAGGAGGAAGGAGTGAGTACAGGAGGCCAGTTGGCAGCTATTGAAGTGCAGGCAAAAATAATGCTAGTGTAAATAAGAGTAGCAGATGTGGAAATAGAAAGTCATGGATAGCTTGAAAGATACTTAGGAGGTAGAAAAGACAGAATTTGATGGATGGATTATACCACAGAATTGAGAATGAAGTCAATAATAGCTGAGGTTGCCTAACTACTCTTCTTAACCCTTTTGGTAGACAGATCCTATCTTCTTCACTGAGATAAGATATCAATGTGGTTCCTTTTGGGGGGAGGAATAAGAAAAAAGCTGATCATATATGCTGATACGGCTTTATGCCATCATTGCCAATTGTCATGCACAAAAGAGCCTCAGTTTGCACAATTTATGCAATTTGTTCTGGTTCCACCAACGAATGCAACTTGGCTATGGCTGTTCAGAAAAATGAAGCAGCTAGATTCTACATCTTAAATCTTCTGGTATATTCATGTTGCGAGTACTATATAGATTTAGATAATCTCTGTAAGCAGGGAACATCAATATTTTCTATAGCATTCCATCAAAGCTTATGTAAGTAATCCCAAGGCACCAAATACAAATTTTCAGTACACTACAGCACTGAAGAATTAGTTCTTTACCACTGAATTGGAATGTATAACCCCTAGAAGTAGCCATTCCCTATCATTTATGGATACTATAAAAGCCACTTATTCCTAACCAATGCTATCACCAAAAAGGCAGATATCTTTTTTTTAGGAAAGCAGTTGAATAAGTTAATATCAATGACTTATTTATCTTAAATCATTAAAGATAAATTCAGTTACTTAGAGAAAGAAAATATTTTCTCTTCTAGAGACCATTAAATTCCTAGTCATGCTAACTATATTCTCTATAGCCATGTTCCAGAGTCCTCAAATATTGCTAAACTAAATGAGAGTTGTTGGTTTTTTTTTCCCATTAGGTCAGAGAGATAAAAGCAAAAGAAAAATTTAAAGGAAAAACATTTGATATAATCTTTCTACTAGTATGAGGTTGAACCAACCTTACATGCTTTAATAGTCTGGGTGTCAAAGTGAATGGTATTAGGGTACTAAATAAAATACCCAGAGGCCTAGGGGCCTTCTCTGTGTCAGAAATTTAAAATCTCATTAACTAGACCAAAAGTCAAACTGATATTAACTGTCAATTCCTTTGTCACAAGTAGTAGTGGTATGAAGTGAAAAGAAAGTCTCCTAAGAACCCAAATGAGAAGGAAAGCATTAGTGCTAAAATAATACACCTGGATCAGCGACTGCAACTGATAGGGGAAAAAAATGCACTTTATTTAATGACACAAATATAAACACACACACACACTCACACACACATATAACTGAAACATACTTACTCTTACCACGTAGGATGCGGTGTGAAATGTTCTGCTCTATGCTCCTTCATTTAAAAAAAAATGCAGGTCACAACTTAGTAAACAAATGTTGCAAGCCATAAGTACAATTACAATATATAACTGCTCTAGAGCATTATAAATGCTAACTTAAAATATTAGAGAAATGTACAGTCTTCTTCCTTCTTAGGATCAGTCCACAAGAGTACTCCCTGTGTTCAGAGAAAACAAAAATTAACACACACACACACAAAAAAAATTAACACAGCCTTGTTCCCATGTATCCAACCTGGATACATTGCCTCCTTTCAGTGTGCTTACACCATCTACCTTGCCAGGCCCAAGAACTGAGGGCATAAAGTGTAACAGGACTCTTATGTCTATACTACACATTTTACAGAAAAGTTCTTTTTATATGTATTATTTCTTTTGACCCTCACAACAACCCTGTGAGGTAGGCAGGGGAATAAGACTAGATTTACTTTACAGATGAAATTAAGGTCCAGAGAGGTTATGTGACTTTCCCAGGCAGATAAGAACCATTAACTTTTGGGTGGAGGGTTCTTTTCTCTAAACCACTCACGGTATAACTTGATCAATTCATTCTCATTTCTTATTGTTGATTCAAGTTTTTATAAGATACAGCAAAAGACCTGACTGTAAACTCATCACACCAAGTTTATGCTTTTCTACTGATGAAAACTTATGGCCACAGGACATACATTCTTTTGGCAGGCACTGTTTCTTTGGCTCCAATCTAAAAGAACATAAGCAATATGAAAGACCCTAAGGCCAAGGAAACTGAAGAGAAATCAGAGGAAAGAATATAAAATGGAATCTATTAGTGGATTTTAGTCCCTGTAAGCTTTTACTTTTGTGAGAGGGTTCAATGGAGAGCTTTAATGCAGATGAGACTTGAGGCTTTTGAAGAGGATCTAAGTCTTGATGAAGTTATTCAAACTCAATCTTGAATGCATAATGGTGGTAGGCCTCAGGGTCTTCAAAAACTTGTACTTGATGCTTTAAAACAAAAGAAAACACACAAAAAAATTCTACCAGCACGTCTAATAAAATATTTTAAGGGTTTTGAAAAGCTTTAACTCTTTGGCCAATAATTAATCAGACTACCAGATACTATGCTAAAAGAATAGAAATGGAAAACCAAAATGAAATAAAGAAGAAAAAGGAAACAAAGACTTTAAAAGACAGATGTATGGAATGGCTTATTATGTTTATTGGCTTATCTATTTGATTAATATTCACTTTAAATGGCAGAATTTAAACTTCTTACAAAACCATCTTGGACTATAATCAGAGAAACTGATTTAATGATAATTTCCTGAATCTCTCTAGTCACTATCCATGATATTTGATTGCCTTAAAGGGCTTTCAATCTTTGAAGGCACGGCCAAATAGTTGTTGGAAGAGACAGCATAAAATAAAGTTGACTTTGTGGGTTAGAGAAAGAAATTGAACTAGGAATATTATGGTTTGAAAATATTTAGCAAGGGAGAAAAGTCAACAAAGCCTCATAATGGAAAAATCAGACCACTTTGCAGGTTTTTATGAAATATATATAATAAATCTGTCTACTTTTGAGCTCATTCTGACTTGTTTCTTTTTATTTTATGTACTCCTATAAACGTTTCTTCCAAGAAAACTTTAAATTTTTAAAGATTAATAATAATGGGGCACCTGGGTAGCTCAGTCGGTTGGGAGATCAACTATTGCTTTTAGCTCAGGTTGTGATCTCATGGGTCCTGAGACTGAGCTCACATTGGGCTCTGTGCTCAGTGGGAAGTATGCTTGGGGATTCTCTTCCTCTGCCCCTCCCCCTACTCATACTATCTCTCTCTAAAAAAATAAATATTTTTAAAAATTAAAAATAATAATAGCAACTAATATGTACTGCATTTATACTTTGTGCTGGGCACCACTCTAAGCATTTTATGTAGATTACATAATCCTTACAACAATCCCATGAATTTGATATTATTATCCTCAATTTACAAGAGAAGAAACTGAAGCACATAGAAATTAAGAAATTCTGAGAATTTACCCGGCTAGTAAATAGTAGAATGAGGATTCAAACTTAGGCCCTTTGGCTCCAGAATACCAACCTCTGCCCACTATTCTACAAAACTGGTTATCAATGCAACAAAATTGACCAGGACTAAGGCTGTCTTCAAATCAGCATTGTGCCATGTCCCAGTCTTTCACTGCATATTCTGATTAGAAAGTATAGTGACTAATTTAACTTTCCAAACAAAAGTAACGTAGAATCAGTTTCAGCAGTCGCTACTCAGAAGTACCATCCTGCAGGACTGTTAAAGCAGTTTAATATAAAGCATGCCACTAAAATATTAACAGTGGTAGGGGACTATAGGTAACTATTTCTCTTTGGTGATATTTAAGTGTATATTTTATATGTTTCTACATTCTATTTTTTGTCAAGTGGACATGGATCACTTGTATAATAAAAAAAAGGTTGCTTAAGCATGCCAATGCCACTATTAGCATTAATATATATTAAGCTTACACTAGCATTTGGCCTATTCACAATTTGCTGCTTCTAGTATACTGTGGAGTTAGGTACCAGTTAATTAAGCTTATTAGAACTATCTTTTAAAAAAGTCAATAAACAGAGTAAGGACCTAAGAAAAAGCATATGGGTTTTGTGTCTTATACTTTAGGAACTCGGGTAATTTTTAAATTTACTTCCTGGTTATAGGTTAAGTTGAGGTTGGTGGATAAATGATGAGTGGGTAAGTTAGCTATCAATATTTAAAGACAGGGGTAACAGAATGTGTACTCATAATACTTCACTGCAATATAAAAAAATTTTAGAATTTGAAAGGAACTTTTACAATAATCTAGTACAATCTCTTACACAATGAGAAATCCTCTCTACAACATTCCTGATGTTCAAACCCTGCTTAAGCACCCCTAATGACCCAAAGTTCACTGCCTCTGGACAGAACCTGTGCCCCTGCTGACTAGTTCTATACCTTCTCTCATTTGGCCTCAAATAAAAGACAACGTGTATGCTTCCTACAGTTTTCCCAACTCTTCCAAAGTCTTATTTTCTGAACAAAATGGTTCCAGTCCTCAGTCTAGATCATCACAGTTATCCTTTTACATAATCACAAAACTGGTTAAAAAGGGTTATCTTATTCTTTGAGGTTTATCTAATAATCAAATCAGTTTCTGTAGAATAATGCTTTATTAATTAATTGATCTAATTCATCCATCTTGGTCATACACCACTGGAAAATTAGGAAAGACTTGTGGTCCTAGCTCAAATTCAAATTGAAGAGCAATACATTTTTGAGTTCTCCCTTCTTTTCTCCTCCCCTCCCCCCAAAATACCATAGAACAGCATCTTAAAAGGTACCCTCAACCATAATCTGATGTGTTTGTTACATTTTAATTTTCTCTCAGGCTTTTATCTAACTTCCTATCACTTGAACCTGTGAATGATCTTAAAACACCCAAAATTCCCTAAGCTGCTCTCATAATCATGAATTAGACCATGACAGTCCCACCTCTAAGGTCTCAAAATTCTGACTTTTTTTTCCTCCTGTGCTAACTGGTTATCTTCCTATCTGGAACTTTTGGTTTTCCAGAAAATTTTATATATATTATGTATAAAACAATATATATATATATATATATATATATATATATATATATATATATGCACACACATTTTATAAATATATATTTACACGCATAGACACATACACATATACATGTATCTTCCCCAACTCTTTGTTACATGTAACTTTTATGTTTATGTGCTTATTTATCTCTCTCTATATGTTACCTTTACCATATTCATCTTGACTCTGGAAAATATAATCTACCCTTGGATTCATTGCTTGCTATTCATTCTCTTAGCAAGAAAAAGGTGTCCCACTCTAGGCATCCTGCCCAGTGATTACCACTTTGTGGCTTGTAGTGATTAATCCCAAGGATCTTGAGGAGCAAAGCATCACTTAACTTAAATGATTATATACAAAATACTCTGCCAAAATATATATGTAATATATATGTAACCCCAGGCATACCATAATCTGTTCTATTCCATTATTCAGCTCCCAGGTAAGTGGCCTTAATTTTGATTTTAACAAGATATACAATCAGGTATTATAAAGGTATGTATCTTACAAAGCTTATTCTCAAGCAAGTTTCAAATAAAAATCCCATTACTAATGAATGAATGAATAATGAATGAAGATTACTATATCTTTAAATTTCTTGTATTCTTATATTTACCTATTATATTATTCCAAATTTCTGACAACAAAAATGTGGAAAGGCAAAGACAGCTAGAGAAGTAAAAACCACAAGAAATTTTTGCTGAGTCCCATGGCAAGTAATCAGCTACTTCAAGTATTATCCTCAATACAGAATGAGATTATACATATATATCTAAAGAATCTTACTGGTTTGCTGATTTTGCTAACAAAGAGAATAAGCCATTCTTTGAAATGCGTTAAGCCAGCTCTAAACATCAAGAACAAAGTGAAAAAATAACTAAGACTTATTTAAAGAGTCCCTAAATAGCAATTCAAATAAAACAAAGTCCATCACTTTCAGTAATACTGAGAGGCTCAGAAGGACCATGCCAACACAATATAAACCTAGCTTGCAAACAAAGATAATATCCATATTACCTGGGGAGGCCAGTAACATGCTACAATTACATAGGAGTATTAAATTCAGAAGCACTAAGCACTTAGTTTATTCATAAGAATAATAATCTAATGTCAAGGTTAAAAACCTATTATAATGTCCCCAAACCTCCCATGCAGCTCTGACAAAAACTTCACTCACTTACATAACCCCATTCCCACTGAATAGTGCAAATAATTCTAAGGACAAATGTCCTAAGGAAGAGTTGTAGGCTCCCATAATTCTTAAATTAGCTTAAAGCCTCGTCATTTAATGTTTCCCAGTATTATAAAAACATGTTCATAGTTAAAAAGTCAATCCACCAGAAAGAGTACATAGAAAAAATATGAGTCATCTTCCCATTAGAGACCTATAGGCTCACTGACCAGGGGTACCTATCTATAGTTCCTCACACAGATTCTGAGGAAATTTTGCATGTACATATAAAACCTTTTAAAAACACAAATGGAAACACACTACATATAATTCTACTGTTTTTCTCAGTTAACAATATATCAGAGATTTTACCACACCTTTGCCGATGGATTTGCTTCATTCTTTCTAAGAGGTACAAAGTACTACATTGCATGAAGGCAGTTATTTAACCAGACCTTCACTGAGGGATGTTTAGGTTATCCCTAGTTTGTTTGTTTCTTATTTTTAAATAATATGGCAATGGTATCTTATATACAAATTTTTGTGTGTGGCCACAAATATATCTGAAAGAATTCCCTGAAGTGCTGACTGGTTTTGGAATTGAGCAGATTCTAAACAAGAAGCCATTGTCTCTACAAAGGAGACTAAGAAAAACTATAAGTATTAATGCTAAGTGATTAAAAGGTCCCAAACAATATCACAAAGTTAGAAGTTAAAGATCTGCAAGTTAACAAACTCCTAAGATAAAATAGGAAAAAAAAGAGAGAGAGAGAAATTTCCCGAGGACAGAAAGATAAAGGGGCTGGAGAATGAATCCTGTAATTTTTTAAAAGAAAAGAAAGGAAGATAGCATAAATAAAGCAAGATAAAAGGAGGAAGAAGCCATTTTTTAAACTTCATTTCTTGCTTTAACCTAACATATAAAGTAAAACTGGCCAGAAGATTTTATACATATATTATCCCAGAGCCAAACTTGGATAATAAAATGACTTAAAGAACTATCTGGAGTCCCGTTCCTACAGGGGTATCCACACGTTGATATATTCTACTCGAGTATGGAGTGGTGTTGCAAGAAGATCTCTTACAGAAAGAGGCAGAACGGTGATCTTCCAGGAGTAACATAACTTGTCAATCTCCTCAACTTCTCATCAATTTTACAGAGAAATAGTTATAATTACCTCGTATATACAGAACAAACCTTTTTGGAAGGTCCAGATTAAAACATAATTTGAAGATTCATTCTGTATTTTTCAATCACAATCCTACAATTTCCTAGACCAATCCAAGGCTGTCCTATTTCTCACCTAACATAAAACATAGTCAACAACTTACCTTTCCCAAAGTGCTAGGATTTGTATGCCACAACATAAACTGATTCATGTTTTTGTCCATTAATGATCCGTGGATTTCTTTAAATGAAGTCCATGTTAGAGTCCATAGATATCAGTGTTCTGCAAAACTGAAAACCTCAAGAATGTCAATGCACATATCTAAGTTACCACTTGGATACTAACTTATTATGAATAATTGTTATAATAGTTACTATTATGAATATAGACATTTAGATATGCAAAATTAGTGGATATGACATTGAACAGCAGAATGAGGTAACAGAAATATAACTTATTTTTAAGTAAGACATCACTATTAACAGAATCTGGAAGATCTCAAAACACTGTTTTGTACCATATTTATATGCATTCTAAAGGTGGCACTATAGTAAGAGCATGTAAAAATGGGAATGATTTGAATACCAACACTTTCCAGAAATTGAGAAAACAAATTTTAAAGGCAGGCAAACTTAAAATTTAAGTGATTACAATAATGTATTTACATGCCTACTTTCTGGGTTTTTTCAAACTATCTTTTTAAATTTCTTGGATTTTTCATCTTTAAAGATTTTATTTTTAAGCAATCTCTACATCCAATGCAGGGCTCGAACCCACAACCCTGAGATCACAAGTCAAATGCTCACAGAATGAGCCAGCCAGGTGCCCCTTGCATTTTTAAATCTAAAAATGCTTACTAGTTTCTTCTTTGTAAAAACAAACAAACAAAGGCACAAATTCGGATTTTCCTACTCCATTATATCCACTCTAAAAAAGATTCTAGAACCTCTTAGGAGCTACTATCTCATTAGATAGCACAAAGCCCATACACAAAATCACTGCATCCAGATAATGATTCATGCCCAGATCCCATTACACAGCCTGATGTGTCTGTCGTTTGCACTTTTTTCCACTTGACAATCAAAACCAATCTGGTTACAGCACCTGTCCTTTAGGTCTATGCCCACTCTTCATCACATTTAAGACACCTAAACAAGTATTTTATAAAGGAGACAATTTAATCTTCAAGGATTCATTCTTTTGGAGGCCTCCTACAAGCCTGTGTAAGGAGTTTATGTTATGTGAACACACCAGATGAAACCTCTGACTGGATTTTTATAAATTAATATTTTCATCTTTGTTATGAAATCATTCTTATTTACCTCTCAAATATAAGAAGTACCCCAACATAAGAAAACATGAAGGAAATAGAAAGTCAGTTCATATTGCTGGAAAGAAAGCGCTCAGAACACTAATTAGAAGCTCAGTGCTAAACTGCAGCTTATCATTCCTCCCCATCATTACCTGGAAGTTCTTCCCAGAAAAGTAAAGGAATCTGAAAGATGCTGAATTAATAGCCTTATCCTCTACCCGCACCATCGAAAAGTATGAAGGCAATTTCCTAAATTTCAATGACCTCATAGAACAACAGCAATGCCTGCATCTGTACTCCCTCAGCATCCTCACACATCACTGGTTAGCAGATTAAGTTGAAGTCCCTTCTACAGTCAGGTAGGGATCCTCAAGTTCGGGAGAAGTTCTCCTTGCTGAGCGAGAATCTGGTCCGTACGTTCATATTAAATAATGTATTCACTCGACAACATCTAAAGAATCCCTAATAGTGAGTAGTGGCAAGGCACTGTCCTGGATTAAGAGATGAAGTACCTGTCCCCCTGTTGGCAGAACAGAAGCGGGGGGCGGGGGGAAGGTCGGAGTAAGTAAGTAATGAACTCTAGGTCGGCTCGTCTCAATGCCCAGGGTCCACTTCTCACCCTAAAGCGCCAAGGCTCCCGGCCGTGACCGATTCCTGGAAATCCCAACCTGTGTTTCCTCGACGACCTCGGTCCTCACGACCCCGTTCCCAAAGTTCCTCGCACCCCTCCCTCCCCAGGGAATCCCACGCCAAGGAGTCTTTCCTCCAGCCTAATGCGAGACCCACCTCTCCCTGCACGAGCTACCTGGGCCACCAACAACAACTTTCACCCTTGACCCGGTCCAAGTTGGCCCGACCGTTACCTGCCCGCGGTGCAAGGCTCCAGGATGACCACAGACGCTCCGCCCCGCCCATCGCGACGCCCTCCACCACCAGGTACCGCCTCCAGGGCGTAACTTCCTGTGCATCACTTCCGGCCCGAAATTCCGCTCGGTCCGGTAGTCGCACCCTAGCGTCCGCCTCTTGCTAGTGGCATCACTTCCGGCCTCTTCCTCGGTCTCCCCGGGATCCGGGCGCGCTCCAGATCTCTCTCCCGGGTTCTTTCCCCCCCCTGCTGTCCTTAATGGCTGTGTAGTCCACCTTGGAAGAGTTCTTTTTTGTTTTTGTTTTTCAAGCTGGTTTGCCAGCGTCTGCAGTCACTCGCCTGTGCTCCCTCTGTGTCGAACACAAGGTTGTGATTTTTCCGATTTTTTTTTTATTTTTTTTTCTGGTCAGTGGAGAGCTCCGGAGCACATCCGAGGTTGTGATGTCTAGTCTGGAATGCTGCTGCTTCTCACTTGTAAGGATGTTACCTTGGCAGGTTACTTAGCCTCTCTGTGCCCGTTTCTCTGTGAAACAGATGGCGCTAGTGCTCAGAACCCGGGGCTGGTGTGTGCGTCACTTGAGATAATGCATGGAAAGCCCTGGCGCAATGAGTCGCTCGATGACTGTTAACGATTCCAAGCGCTGCCTTCTTTCCTGTTGTAACTGGTAAGTGGTTAGGAAAAGCTGGTGCCAGTTTTCCTATGTGTTGTATCCTCAGCTTTCAATCAAGAGATTAATGATACTTGGTACTTTTCCTCTGAAGGGTGAGCTCCTCCAAAGATGGAATATTGTGCTTGAAGTCCACTTACCTGCTTGGGTACTGTGCTAGCAGGACGAACACCACCCAGGCTCTGCTCTCAGAAACACGGAGATAATAAATGATGGAAGGAAGAAAGCTAACCTGGGAAAACAAAACAAAACAGAAGACCAGTGGAACCGAGGGTTCATCCTTAACACAAAAACGTTTATCCTTACAACAAAAACATTTCACAGAATATTAGAAGTGAAAAGAACTTTAGAGAGAATAATGTTAGTTAAGCTCTTGATGATACAAGCAAGTAAGGAAACTTGGATCCAGAGAAGCAACGAACTGAAAGTCACACAATTAGTGTCAGGGCTAGGAGGGGACATGAAGTCTTGAAATGCTCACTACCTCCCTCCATTCCCAAAATCTGCTGCAGGGTGTTAATAAGGTAAAAGCAAATTCACTTTCAAGACCTTCACTGTCAAGTGAAAAGCACTAGGAAAATCCCAGTCCAGGAGAGACAGGAGCAAGGTAACCTAGCAGATGCCACAGGATTCTGATGACTGTTTGAATGTTCTGGTCTGGCACTGCTGAGTTCACTTAAAATAGAGTTAGCTCTCTCTCCCCTGGTGAATGTCTTATACTTACCCAGAACTGAGGGGTTAAGTATCACCTCCTGTGAGTGAGCCCTCTCTTCTGTTTTAAATGGCTGGACCAGAATAAGAAACTGCTCCAAGCAGTAACCAAAGATAGAAAGATTGAGTGCATTGCAATGCCATGACACAATCTTAGTTAGGCTAATCTATTGCAAGCAATTTCTCTTAAATATTCATTCAGTCTTTGTTCTAGGACTACGACAAAGCTAGCATAGATATTAGTATTATTTTTGAAATACTGGTAATAAGTATGTGTTCCAAATAATCAGGTAATTACACGAACCCATTGAATAATGTAGTTGGGATAGATACAATTTAAGGTTTCTTCCAACTCTATCATTAAAAAGGATCAATGACATTTTTAATGACTGCACCACAAAAATTAATCTGAAGTTACAGAGTTAGCCAGTGGCAGTCAGTAGAGAACTGACTAGAATCTAGAATGACTAGGATCTAGGACTGACTAGTTCTGGAATCTCAGCCTCCTAATTCCATTCATTCATTGTTCATTCATTCAGGAGAGACACTATGCTTGGGCATTGGGTATACAAAGATGAATAAGATAGGGGTGCCTGGGTAGCTCGGTTGGTTGAGCATCTGACTCTTGATTTCCGCTCAGATCATGATCTCAAGCAGGGTCATGAGATCGAGCCCTGCCTCAAGCTCTGTGCACAGTGGAGTCTGCTTGAGATCCCCCATTCCCCCAGACATATGCTCATGCTCGCTCTCTCTCTCTCAAATAAATAAGTATCTTTTAAAAAGATGACTGAGAAGGGGATCCCTGGGTGGCGCAGCGGTTTGGCGCCTGCCTTTGGCCCAGGGCGCGATCCTGGCGACCCGGGATCGAATCCCACATCGGGCTCCCGATGCATGGAGCCTGCTTCTCTCTCTCTCCTCTCTCTCTCTCTCTCTCTCTCTCTCTGTGTGACTATCATAAATAAATAAACAAAAATAAAAAGATTTAAAAAAAAAATAAAAAGATGACTGAGAAGGGGATCCCTGGGTGGCGCAGCGGTTTAGCGCCTGCCTTTGGCCCAGGGCGCGATCCTGGAGACCTAGGATTGAGTCCCACGTTGGGCTCCCTGCATGGAGCCTGCTTCTCCCTCTGCCTATGTCTCTGCCTCTCTCTCTCTCTCTCTCTCTCTGTGACTATCATAAATAATAATAGTAATTAAAAAAAGATGACTGAGATAATCTGCTTTTGAGGAACTTCCTATTTGGTGAGGGAGACAACTTTTAAAAGATTTCATTTTTTACATGGAGATGGAACTTACAACCCCAAGATCAATAGTCTCATGTTCTACTGACTGAGCCAGCCAGCTGCGCCATGGAGGCAGAACTTTTAAGGGAAAAATAATTCAGTGTTAATATTATCATAGATCCATGTCGTTCCTCCTTTTAATCAATGTACTTTCCCCCCTTTGACGCCAAAATACCATAACTTGACAAAAATAAATACTAAAAATATTTTCTAATCAAATTTAAAATCATTCGAACCACATTTTTAAGAGTCTGAAACAATCAGAATTTACATTAATCTTTATATAGGTCTTAGAATCAGCATTTGGGTTATATGCCTACCTCTGCTGTTAACTAGCCATGTGACATTAGACAAATCACCTCAATTTCCTCTTTAAAGTCCTTTCTGCAGTAAATCTTGTCTTATTCTGTGTAGTAGAAAACAATGCATATTTCCCACTGTAACCACTAGATTACACACTTTCTTTTCCTCCCTCTCCTTCCCCCCCTTCCTTCCTTCCTTTCCTTCTCTTCCATTCCCTCCATACCTCCCTCTTTCCTTCCCTCCCTCCTCCCTCCTTCCTTTCTCTCTCTCTCTCTCTCTCTCTCTCTCTCTCTCTCTCTCTCTCTTTGCTTTCCTGTTAATTCACCTGACAAAGACATCATTACACCACCTTTGGAACAACCTCCAATATGGATAGCCACTGTGCATCCTAAGACTCTAAGATGACAGAACTAAAATGTTTGTTGGATGAGTGAAAGAATGAATGGATTCTAGGATTCTCTCTGGCCCCTTTTATCCCTTACTACTATTACCTTTTCTTCTATTAAAATACTCTTTTGAAAGCTGTGATGGTAGAAAGAGGAAGATGAGACAATATATAGGAACTGGGTTGGGAGGAGAATGCAAAAGGCACTACATTGCATCCCAAAGCAAACATCAGTGCACTGTGGTATTTATGGATGAAATCATATAATATCTGAGACTTATTTTAAAATAATATGAGAGGGCAGCCCCAGTGGCCCAGCGGTTTGGCGCCGCCTTCAGCCCAGGGTGTGATCCTGGAGACCCCGGATCGAGTCCTGCGTCAGGCTCCCTGCATGGAGCCTGCTTCTCTCCCTCTGCCTGTCTGCCTCTCTCTCTCTCTCTCTCATGAATAAATAAATAAATAAATAAATAAATAAATAAATAAATAAATATCTAAAAAAATAATAATAATATGAGAGAGTTCAGATAATAAAGATGGGTCATATATTGATAATGTTGAAGCTGGGTATATTTGGTTTCATTATATTCTTTTTTTTCTTTGTATGCTTGAAAATTTACACCATGTTAAAAATAAGATAATGAATGCATTGCCCTTTCTCTCTAGTCAAGACTAAGTTCAAACTATCCCATGGAATCTCAATTTGGATTCTTTTGACTGATGTGATAGAAACCTTGTCATAGGTTGTGTTTTTGAGAAGTAGAAACTGATGAAGAGGGGATTTTTATTAGGAATGGACAGGAACAGGATTGGTGAGAGGAAGATGTTGAAATGCTACTCAGGTTGAAGCAATCTTCAGCCAGCTTGGGGGAGAGCTGCAGAGTGAGTGGTACCCATCAGAGAGTACCCAGGTTCGGGTTGAAAGGGCCAGCCCTTTGTACTGGATGCAGCCTGCCTCAGGAAGGGTACGACTTCAAGCGAGGTGGCCCTCTGCAGCTGAGGCGGACCCCAGAGAAGTGAACAGCTGGGGGCTGCCAGCAGGCCATACTCTTTGGAACTGTGCTTCAAGTCCATCCTTGAAGGGGAATCTGGGCAGCACTTCTCTGCATCTTCCACAAAACACAGCAGAACGTGGCTTCAACAATAGGGGATGTATTGACTTCTATGAATGGACTCTTATGGCAGGCATCAAGGTTGGTTGTTCCAGTAACTCAATGATACCATTCAGGACCCACACTTCTCTCCCTCTCCACTCTACCTTCAGTAGCATCTGCTTCAGCTTATGGCCAGATTCCCTCAAGGTGGCAAAATGGCTGTAGCAATTCATCTCACATCTACACACTGCGCACACTCTCAGAGGAGATGACAGGCATTCGGTAATTCCAGGGCGATTCTCGGGCTGGAAAAGAGAATATATACATTTATTTCTGGGGCACCTGGGTGGCTCAGTCGGTTAAGCAACCGCCTTTGACTCAGGTCATGATCCCAGGGTCCTGGAATTGAGCCCCATATTGGGCTCCCTGCTGAGGGAACCTCTCATTTTCCCTTTGCCTCTCCTTTTCCCTCTGCCCCTCCCCTGTGTGCGCTCTCTCTCTCAAATAAAATCTTTTGAAAACATATACATTCATTTCTGGACTAGACACTCTACAATTCTTATCTTTTCAACTTTAGTAGAGGGCTATAAAAAAAGAACAAACTGCCATTTGCAACAATGTGGTTGGAGCTAGAGAATATAATACTAAGTAGAACAAGTCAGATAGAAAAAGACAAATACATGACTTGACTTGTATGTGAAAGTTAAGAAACAAACAAACAGAACAGACTGGTGGTTGCCAGAGGGGAGGCATGGAGGGAGGCAGGGGAAATAAAAGAGATTGGGAGTACACTTGTGTTGAGCACTGTGTAATGTACAGAAATGTTGAATCATTATATTGTACACCTGAGGTTAATATAATACTGTATGCTAATTATAGTTCAATCAAAGAAAAATTGTTTTTTTTAAGAGTTTATTTACTTATTCATGAGAGACAGAGAGAGAGAGAGGCAGAGACACAAGCAGAGGGAGAAGCAGGCTCCATGCAGGGAGCCCGACGTGGGACTCGATCCCGGGACTCCAGGATCACACCCTGGGCCAAAGGCAGGCGCTAAACTGCTGAGCCACCCAGGGATCCCCAAAGAAAAATTGTTTTTAAAAGTTAGAGTTAACCATATGACCCAGCAATTCTACTCCTAGGTATATGCCAAAGAGAATTAAAATCATAGTTTATTAAAAATTTGCACATAAAATGTTCATAGCAGCATTATTGACAATAGCCAAAGAATGGAAGGGCACCTTGGTGGCTCAGTTGGTTAGGTGTCTGCCCTCAGCTCAGGTCATGATCTGGGGTCCTGGGATTGAGCCCCGTGTTGGGCTCCCTGCTCAGCAGGGAGTCTGCTTCTCTCCTTCTGAGACTTCTGCTTGTGCCCTCAAATAAAAATAATAAAATCTCTTTTAAAATAGCCAAAAAGTAGAAACAACCCAAATATCCATAAATTGATGACTACATAAACAAAATGTGGTATATACATAAATGAACTATTATTCAGCCATTTAAAAAAATGAAATGTGATACATACTATAACATGGATGAATCTTAAAAACACACTAACACAGGCTCCAGAGCCAGACACTGGGTTAAAACTTCAGCTTAACCCAGGGCAAGTTAGCTGAGGCCAGTTAACCATCTGTGCCTCTTCCATAAAATGGTGATAAACAATGATGCCTTATCCATGTGCTGCATGGAGGACTAAGTGTGTTAATACATGCAAATAATTTAGGACAAAGCATGGCACATGGGAAAAATGAAACGTTGGTTTTTATTTTATTTTGTATTATTGGGTTTATTATCATAAGTGTACTTAGCTGGAGAAACCACTTCAATCACAATATGGTGTTAGAATTGAATACAATAGGGATCCCTGGGTGGCGCAGTGGTTTAGCGCCTGCCTTTGGCCCAGGGCGCGATCCTGGAGACCCAGGATCGGATCCCGTGTCGGGCTCCCGGTGCATGGGGCCTGCTTCTCCTTCTGCCTATGTCTCTGCCTCTGTGTGTGTGTGACTATCATAAATAAATAAAAATTAAAAGAATTGAATACAATATTCTACAGAATATCCAAATTGGGTGGGGGGAGAAAAGAAATGGCTCACCTGCATATTTCAAAGGAGAAAACTTGCACAATTTTAAGTGTTAAACCTTTTCTTGCGAAACATCAAAAGCCCATTTTTCAAAATGTTGTCCTTTATTACCTTGGCAGGCATCCTGTCAACCTAAAGGACTTTGTCCCCTTCCTCTAACAAATAAAGTCAGAGGCTGCATCTTTTCTGTTTATTTTAATTTCTAAAATGTTCAGTAACCTTTGGGTAGGTGTAGCTGGTAATGTCTAAATTTTTCTTCTCATGGTGATTCATATGGGAAAAGCTAGCTTGTATAATTATTTAAGTATAAACATTTCTCTGCCCTAGACAGTTTTGCTTACTGTTAGAGAAAAAAAAAAATCAGGGATACCTAGGTGGTTTGGTTGGTTGAGTGTCCAACTCTTGATCTCAGCTCAGGTCCTGATCTTCAGGTTGTGAGTTCAAGTTCTACGTTGGGCTCTACATTGGGCATGGACTCTACTTTTTAAAAAAATCAAATGTGACCTAACCTAAACTATGAATTATGATTCGGAAGAATGGAAGTCATTGCCGTTTCTGTAGCTTCAAATACCAAGATTGCCTTGTTTCCTGTGATGTTCAAGCTGATTTTCTTGCTCTGCCCCTTAAAAGCGCATCTACTGCAGTGACTGCATAGGGCTGTTATGGGTTGAATTGTGTCCCTCAAAAAGATGTGAAGTCCTAACCAGCAAGACCTGTGAACGTGACCTGATTTGGAAATAGGGTCTTTGCAAATGATCAAATTAAGATAGGGTCATTCAATGTCCTTATAAAAAGGGGAAATTTGCACTAAGACGTTCACCCACACAGGGAGAACACCATATGAAAACTGCAGTCATGCTACCACAAAGCCAGAAGCTAGGAGAGGCCTGGAACCAATCCTTCCCTAAAACAAAAACATCATGCTAACTGAAAGCCAGGCACAAAGGCCACATATTGTGGGATTCCAATTATGTGAAATATGTGGAATAGGCAAATTTGTTAATGGGCACAGGGTTTATTTTGGGGTGATTAAAATGTCCTGGAATTTGAGAGTGGTGATTGTGTACATCTTGTGACTATAATAAAAACCACTGAATTGTACAATTTAAAAGGATAAATTGTGTAGTGTGAGTTATATTTCAATTAAAAATTCATTATCCTTTTAAAAAAAGATCATATCACTTGAAATTTAAAAGGGAAAAATGTTTTTCTGGATGGGGGAAGGGAGCAAACACAAGTTAAGGAAACATGAATATGATGTGATTGATGACAGGTGATAAGCAGTGCTCACTGAAAAGCTGAGACATGGTCTTTATATATGCTCAATAATACATCATTGCTCTCTGACATTTCAATCAGTGAAGATAATTGAACTGACTGCGTCATTTTTCTGCCACAGTTGGAACTTCTCTAGGAACCCTGATAGATTATCTTCATCGTGAAGATATTGAATACCATGTGTGTATTTGTGTGTGTTATATCTCCAAAGTTCAACACTTGAGCAAGTGACTTGAAATTATGGAAATTGTCATTACTAATATTATTGGTACAGTGAAGAAATTATTTATATCGTATCTCTTATTTCAAGTACTTATGTGAGCAGATTTTCTCCTCAAATGTCGGCCAACTTCAATGTGGAAGAGCATACTCACTGCCCACTTCTTCACTGTATTAGTTAGGACAGGTTAAAATTCTTTAACAAACAAGGATACCTGGGTGGCTCAGTGGTTGAGTGTCTACCTTTGGCTCGGGTCCCAGGAGCAAGGTCCTGGGAGCAAGGTCCATATCGAGCTCTCCACAGGGAGCCTGCTTCTCCCTCTGCCTGTGTCTCTGCCTCTCTCTGTGTCTCTCATGAATAAATAAATAATCTTTAAAAAATAAAAAAAAATTATTTGACAAACAGACCCACATTTATTTATTTCTTTCTCTTGTAAAAGTCCATGTTGGTTCTAGTCAGCAGGCAAATCTCTCCCATAAGATCATTTGGTAAGTCAGGCTTTTTTTTTTTTTTTTTTTTAAGTCAGGCTTCTATCTGTGGCTCTATCCTTCTCTGAGGCCCTGTGCCCATTTATATCCCACAGTGAAAGGGGAAAGGATGTGAAAGAAAACATGTTACAGATATTATCACTCCAGCTGGAAGGTAATATTTTTCATTTGTTCCAGAAAAATCTGAGAAGTCAACTCTGATGGCTTCATGCCACTGTTGAATGAAGTTTCACAACACAAGTTTAGATAGTCCTCTCCATTCTTACTGTGAGAACATATTTGCATGATCTAGCACACAAAAGTTCTATATTTACATTCCTTTATTTGTCTTATAGGTTTTAAAACCTCTTCTAGGTGTTCTAGGTGTGCCTGCCTGGCTCAGTTGGTAGAGCATGCAACACTTGATCTCAGGGTCATGAGTTCAAGACCCACACTAGGCATAGAGTTTACTTAAAAACACACATGCACAAAACTTCTTCTGACGAAATGATCTATTTTCAAAAGTTGCAACACAACAACCATAAAGTGACATCATTAAGCAGAGCATTAATATACAAATGACATAAGAGTGCAATAGCCAAGAGAAAAGACATCCTGTTAAGTAGCGCTTATTGAGACAAATTAAATGAGAAGACAACTTAAGAATAAACAATTCAGGGATCCCTGGGTGGCGCAGCGGTTTGGTGCCGCCTGCAGCCTGGGGTGTGATCCTGGAGACCTGGGATCGAGTCCCATGCCGGGCTCCCTGCATGAGCCTGCTTCTCCCTCTGCCTGTGTCTCTGCCTCTCTCTCTCTCTCTCTGTCTCAATAAATAAAATCTTAAAGAAAAAAAGATTTTATTTATTTAGTCATGAGAGATACAGAGAGGCAGAGACACAGGCAGAGGGAGAAGCAGGCTCCCTGCAGGGAGCCCAATGTGGGACTCAATCCTGAGACTCGGGGATCACACCCTGAGCCAAAGGCAGATGCTCAACCGCTGAGCCACCCAGGTGTCCTGAGACTGAATAGATTTAGACAGTTTATTATTTACACAGATGGCAAAAGAAAGATCAGCAGGGTATCAGCTTCCTGTATTCTTTGTCCCACAGGATGACACCAAAAGGAAGAGGCCTGATGACAGGTCACAGGAACTGTGGGTCATTCTGTTATTGAGGAAAAGAGCAGAGTGGGCACTTGGAGGAAATAGAGTAAAGGCCCTCTTAAATTTGCCCATGGGTGTCTCACTTGCTTACCTCAGTCCCTGCCCTGTTGAAGAGCCAACTCTAACCTACTGTCAAACAGCTCTAGAGATTTACATAGAAGTTCGCAGCTTGTACCAGGGAGAAAGTTCTGCGTTCAACTAAAACTAGGGAAATAGATGGGACATGTCCTATGGCTAACACCTCCAAGATAGAGGTGAGAACCTGCCTCAAACAGCTCTACAGCAGGGCGCCTGGGTGGCTCAATCAGTTGAGAATC